CCCTACACACAATCATCAAAACTGCTACCAGTTAACACGAGTTAGCTCAAAAATTGACTTACCTCCTTCTCAGCAGGTCCTTCGCCCCTAAACAGATCCGAGATTTTCAGAAGCTCCTTCCTGCAGTGACAGTCGGCAGATAAGCCGAACGTTCCTACGGGCCAAGCGACTCTTAGCCGCGTCTACCTGTACGCAGCGAACGGAGCGAACGGAGCGAACGGTGCAAGACGGGAGACTGTACAGCTAAACGACCCCTCTACGTCCTTGCAAATGCGGGGAGTCGTCGAAATTCGCGTCAGAGAAGCGAAGCTTAACGAGTTTTACGTCACCGAGTCGACAGTCGTGTCTAAGTCGCCCCAATGAGAATTACCAACCTACGTGGCAGGTGAACACGCTCGCCAATTTTTCTTTTTCGTTTGCCTCTCTCTCTCTCTCTCTCTCTCTCTCTCTCTCTCTCACCCGCATCCCTCTCCACCTACCGAGTACACTTTGTCAAATTGTTGTCGATGAAGGGAAAGAGCGAGTTGGAAAAAAAACATTCGAGTAAATACTATAGAAAATGCGACAGGGGATGGGAGCGACACTGGATTATCCTACAACACTAATTCATCCAGTGCAGATATAGATATATCGCGGTATGGGGTTGGTATGTTGAACGGGAGGGAGGTTGAGTAACGAGTCATTTTCGTAGCGCAAAGGGGGAGGGCGGGGGCCTACCTGCAAATATCCAGAATTATTGCCGTCCGGTATCGCGACTCGCGACTCGCGACGCGCAGCCGAGATCATTAGCGCAGATGCGCGCAAAATCGTTAATGCGATTATCCCAGGACAATTTCGCTGCTCCGAGCCATTAGCGTGTGCCGCCGTATTTGGTCATTTCCCATTTCCTACTTTCTACTAAGGAGAAGAGGGTTTCATTTTCAATCCCACCTTCCGCGCCATTTCGTTTTTCATTTGAGAGCCGACGAGCAGCCGATTCTTTCAAATATTCCCAAAACGCCAATCCAGCGCCAGCGCGGTCCAGTGGTCGCTGCAGGCCGTCTCGCAATGTGAAATCCAAAATCCGAATTTCAGGAGGGACGCACAGTGGGTCTGTACGGTATACAGAGAGCGCGAGAGAGACGGCAAACAGTCTCGTTGCCGGAAGTAGTGAGACAGTCCAGAGAGTCGTAATTCGCACAGTGCGAGAACACGAGCTGCGAGATGCAACTGTTTCTGCGGCTCTCGGACACGTTTCCGCCAAGTGTACCTATAGTAAATATGGTATACGGTGTGCCGTTATATGGCACGCAGTACATAGGGAGTACAGCCGGCTGCGCTGAGCGTGTAGTGGAAAGATAGAAACGGGTGGCAGCAGTGGGAGCCAGGGTGCTCGGTAGCAAAGCGTAGCACGAGGCTGGCCAAGTCGGCAGGTTGGGTTGCCGTGTGTCAGGGGTTCTCAGAGTGCGGTAGGGTCGTTGCTTTCCCGTCGAGCTCTGTGTGACGTCACTCCAAACCCACCCCACGCGGCATCGATCTGCCGGCCCGCGTTGCCAGGACGGAGGCGTCCCGAGGCGTCCCGAGGCGTCCTACGCGTCGCTGCTATCTAGCCTAACAACGCGAGACGGCCATGTGCTCGGGAATCTGGTCCTCTTGCCCCCCCATCGCCCCGCCCGACGCCTTACACTCACTTCCGTTCTCTTGCGTCCACGGCCTCACCCTTCCTTCCACTTACTTCCGTCGCCTCGCTGCACCCTTACAACTTCGGCTCATCCCGATCCTCATCCCTTGGTCCATTGCATCCTTTTACACAGCTACTTCCGGAGGCTGCTGCTGCTATATGTTCTACCTTTGCGGATGAAAGCCCAGCAGGGAACACGTGGTGGGCAAAGCTCGAGGGCAGCTTGTACCAATCGTTTCCACAAGCCACTCCTGGCTCTTCCTCTTCCTCGGACACGCTGCTTACTTCTTCGATGTGAACCTGCACGCGTATAAATACCCTGTGGTCTTACCCGTAGATGCACAACGTGACTTTTCCCAGGCGAAACGGCGTTCATCCAACTTCCGAGAAAGAAGACACAAATCTTCCCGTAGGTAATGGGACGCCAGGACAGGCCACGTGTCACACGCGGTCGACTAGTACGTGGAAGATAGAGTATAAAGGATAGATGGGAAGGCGAAAGTAGATGGCTGTATAGTTATACCTGTGGCGCAGGTAGTATATGTATACTTGACGGGTCGCTTGGAAATCGCTAAGAGACCGAAGGGGAAACTAGGCGTAAGAGCGTTCCTAGGTATATAGCCGGAGAATGAGAATGGGGTGTAGTGGGAAGATGGCGAGAGTAAAAGAGCAATCGATTCGAAGGGAGAATTTTGGCAGAGCCTAATGGCGAGCAGGAACGAACGTACCGCGATTTACCCCGTGGGAAATCAAACTTTATTTAATCCGAGAAAATTTGGAAGGTGCCGTGAGAGGTTAGGGTCAAACAAGTAGTGGGGGTTAAGGAAAGGGAGCGAGAGGCAAATGGCGCGGACGAGGAAACGAGCAGCAGCTACGGGAGGAAAATTTGGAGAAACGAAGTGGGGGGGCGCGTGGATTGCCAAATGGAGCTTCGGCGGTAGCAGCCCAGAGGCCGAAACCCGATGAAGGACTTCGAAAGGCAACGGCACCCTCGTTACCCAGGAACCCGGCTGTGTATTAAATAATACCACTCCCGAGAAGAGGCAGATCCGAACGAACGACCCCCGACGTTCCCACGTCGCCATAAACCAATCTTTACGTCTCGGGACATGCGTGCTTTTTTAATTAGCGTGCCGCGCGAAGCAGCTACAGAGTTGGCAGTAAAGCATAAGACGACCAGAGAGACGGCCCTCTTAGATATTTTACGAGACGACTAGACGAGAAGCCTCCATTTGTATGAACGTTTCCTCCTAACTTCCTATCTTCTCACTACTTTTGTTTTTTACACCCTTCTCTTTCTTTTTCATTCCTCGCTACGTTATATGGCTGTCCGACTGCTACTTTCCCACTAATCGTTTCTTTCTTACGCTCCTTTCCTTAGTTTTACGTTTCCTACTTTTCTTGGCTGTTATCTGGCAAACAAACACATTACAATGGAAGATAATTTAAAGGCATTACCTTTGAAAAGAACACTGCCCTCGACGGGTTTCTTTGATATATCGTGTGTAAAGGAGATAGGCACGAAAAGACGGGACGTTTCCTAATTTCGGACTTTGCCCTCGAGCGGATACGCGCGTCTTATATCGATACGAGGAGATTCTAACTACTGGGCGAAAAACGAGATGCAATACTGTGGATATTTTATTCAACGACCGCAGAAACTGACACGGACGGATGGTTGTGACGCACGATGCTCATTTTCCCACAGTGGGACGAGCGACTTCCAGCGTGCAATTGCATATACATTTTGAATGCAGAGATATATGTACATGGGAGAACACGAATATCGCTCATGAAATTGCGAACATTAATACATTCGCATCGACGCTCTGTACAGAAAAACTGGGCTTGAAAATTGATGGTTGTTCTCAAAAATAGAATCATGCCGGATATCGATCTGAAATGGGCAGACGGAAGCCAGGTGGAATAAATAAGGAATACACAGCGTTATTTCCGAGTGTGCTCGTCACTAAGCCACTCCGACAAACTGGACATTCTTACAATGGAAACATATTCTGCCATGATGTTGCAATTTGTTGCACGCAACGCCCGACACATGTCAACTGCGTGGACATGCAAGTACTCTAATGTCTGTCACCGCCATATACGTTCGCATTTACTTTTCACATCTCCACTTACCCCAGGTTGGTATTACATGATTCCTTAGTAATTTTCCTCTAATCCTGTCAGACGAACGTTCAAGATTTCTTCGTTAATAAACTTATCAATCGTCAAAGGCTCAGCTTTCTTTACACGAGCAGAACGATGTAATGAAACGGCAGTTACATAGTACGTAGACACAAGAAACTGCACTGCGTCAGAATGTTATACGAAGTATTGTAGAAAGTAGTTGCACAGGTAATAAACGCGGCGACCATGTAATTCGAGCAGTTGAATTATAAGAAAAGCGATGAATCCAAAGGATAACTTTCTACGTGCAAGAGAGTGTCATGTTTGACAATTGTATTCTTGCTTCGCCAACGCAACGCGATCCAATGCAAGATGCCACGGCAAGTAGTACAGTTGACGCCACGAGTGGTGGCAGCACCAGTCAAAGGCTAGTTGCAGCGCTCTTTCTTTACGGAATCGTTGACTGAAGATAAATAGACCTAGACTACCTAGACTAGACGTCTTACAGAGTTCGTGTTACGTAAGGCTGAGTGTTACGGAAACCCGTTGATAGAGTTGTCGACGGATACGTCAACGTTACGAATGTGCCGAAAGATTATGCCAACTGATGAACCAAATGATAACCTATGTACAGTAATAAATATCGGATATTACAAAAATAATGTTGAGAATTTCCAGTACGTATGTTCGCGGCTTTGCGCATCTATACGTCTTTAAGAACCTTATGGCAATGGCGTAGTAGATGCACATTTCAGTTTCACTTAATATCTTGCCTCATACAATATGTACGTGTAATATGAATAAATATTGCATTTTCCTGTAAAGTTAAACTTAAGTAATTTACAAGTTCGACTTACGTAAAATGCAAGATAGGTAAAGGTTTACGGAACGCATTGCTCACGTTACTCGGAGTATTACCGTACAGCGAAATTACGCATGTAAAACGTTAATTCTTTTTCAATTAAATTGGTAGACTTTGAAAATCCGTTTTTGCCCCATAAATTTACAATTGGAAAGATATGAATAAAAATTGTGCATGCATCAGGGGAGCACTGTTATATAGAAATAAAAAAATTTAATATTGATTTTCTCATCTGGAACTGCTCATTCCGAAAATCGATTTTTAGCTGAAACTCTTTCCGTCCTATCTACTTTTGTTTTTTGCGAATACTTTAAAGGATCGCTCACACAAACGTCTACGGTGAATAGAAAATAACGATAAAAGAAAAGTTCTTGTCCTTGTAGTTGGTTCACAGATTCGTTAGCGATTCGGCTCTACCGATTATTTTAGCACTACACATGTTTTCGAATGCAAACTCGTTATTTACACATTATGACTGGATCAAGACGCGGATTTTCGCGCACGATAAACAATAACCGCGACGAAGTTTTGATGGTGAAGTGTGCAGGGATAGAGGGTCTAAATCGGGCTGAAGACCCAAGGCAGAAAGTCTCAAGTAAAAGATCACGATGCAAATAGAGAAAGATTGTTACAAACATTAAAATTGACATAGGACAAATGCAAAGAACCGGATTGAGCAGTCTAGAGTGCGAAATGAACGCAATAGGGCTCAATAGCTACGGACAACTTTGATCCGGCTGACAGATACCGAAGTAATCGGCTGTGATCAGAGAGAGAGACCAGAGTACAGACTCTGACAAAGAGAGAATCATGTGGAAAGGCCTGGACTAAGCAATTGGGCTGCTTGTGTCGCAGAGAATCAAAACAATGAAAGATGCACAGGGCGGGAGGGGGGGAGGGAGCAAGAATAGTAAAACGCGACCGAAAAAGAGACTGACGTAGGAATCGGCTTTCGGAAGACTCAAGTCTACGCCGATACATCCTTCCGCATACCAGTCAGTACTCCCTCCTACTCGAGTACCGATGGACAAGTGCTGCCCTCCTAGGACAAACTTTTCAATTACAACTAGTGTAGTTAACGTCAACAAAATACCCTGGAGTGGAGATGCCGGCCGATCGGTGTTTCATAATAGTCCCCGTTGCATCATTGACGATCACTGTTACTCTTAGTTTTTCTTGTTGTCATATTTATTCTGCAGATAAACCCTTATTAACTTTTACTTTGACACCGACGTCAGTTCAGCCTGCCGAAATCTTTAGTTCTCTCTTTTTTTTTTACTAGAAAAAAAAATCCATTTTGCAGCATCCACTCGACCGCGTGCGACTGTAATTTTTTCAGCTCGTTAATTGTTGCTGAATGCAATTTATAGCTGGCACGTATATCGCTCGTTTATATCGTTACTAGATGCCTATTGCGTGAGTGCCGGACCAGCCTACCGTAAACGTTAAAAAAATTATTGCATATCTTTATATTTTCAAAGTAATCCCGATCCGTCCAATTGATTGCATGCCGTAAATTCGCTCGTCAAGCGGCAAATTCTCACGCATCGAATGACGATAGAGATCACCAATCGGTATAGCAAAAAGGGGTGACAGAATTTTAAGCTATTTTCGATACGCGACAAATTGATTTTTGCATAGATCGTGAAGGGTGTTCATTAAAGTTATAAGGTTTTCAATATTCACAGATATTTATTTTTTATATCACATGATACATATCAGGCACACGCAGGTGTAATGTTACTGAAATTCGAATATCCTACTGAAGCTTGAGCTTCCGGAGCAGAGAATGGAAGAGCAAATATCGCTTTCATTCCCAATATCGATCAGCTTGTACAAACCATGTGCTAATGTTTTCCTTTTCGTTAATCGATGAAGAGAAAGGTACGTTAACGAGAGTAGATAATATGTGCAAAAGGTACATAGGAGTGATATGGGAGCGATAGTGTGTATAGCTGGTACATCAGTCGGTTAGGTAGAGTGTTCAGGAGTAGCCCGCTAGATGGCAGCAGCTCGGCGTGACATGACAACATGGCCGCCTAGTGTCTAGTCTGTCATGGCGATTTCTCGTCAGTTTCCTAACAATCCTTTTTTTATACCTTTTTCACACATATTTTCTACCTCCGTGTAGTGCTTTGAATGATGTGCAAGTGCGTGCTTTTATAATGTGACATGTGTGGCTAGCAAAGAATCTGGATTCGTGCAAAATACATTGAATGTGGTGAGTTCTACCTTGTGTACGCTACTTGTTTGACTCGCGGCGGTCAGCAGCTATTTGTTTACCCTCTTTTACTCATTCATTGCTTCACTGCTGGATGCTCAACGTTTCTACGACAATTAATTCCCCATTCCCTAAATGTACGATGGTCGGACAGATCAATATTATTCAGGAATATCCTTATAAAAAGTCAAGTCCTAGTGCGTGAGTAGCCGTGCACTCTCTCTCTTTCTCTCTCCTCATTTCTCCGATACTCTTTCTTCCCTGTCACTCTCATTTATTCTCCTATCTCGTACTCTTCGGAGTTTCCTCTCATCCGTCTCGTTTTGTCTCTGATCGTCGCGTGTCTCATTCCTACCTTGCACAGCACGCTCTCGCACGTTGGAATCCAGTATACGCTATTTTCTAACGTTTAAATAAATTTTCCGACAAGAATTTAACGTTGTTTAATTAATTAACAGTTAGACCATTGACTCCCATGGTCTAACCATAAACGAAACGTGAGTGACAATGAGTCACAGAGAGACGTTTGCGCGGTTAATTGTTTCGCGCGGCCACGTATTTTCGCCTCCGAATGCTTGATAAACAAGCGATACCATGGCAACCCACTTGTCAAACTGTCGTGGCCGTTTATCGTTGAGACAGCTGGACAAACAAATCGGGGAGTTCGCCTGGGCGAACTTCCTGCTGCGGAAGGAGACCGATTATTTTAGTTGATCGCTCTAAGAACGATCCCTTCTCCTTTCCTGGCTCGTTGCAAATGCACCATATACTCCATAACTATTTCGCAAGGATGAAACATAGGTATGAGAAATGTACTATAGCAGAAATTAGAAACGCTAGACTCCCCTTTGAATTTTAAAAGGCCCAGCGGTCTATAGGATAAAAGACTCCGTCATTGAATCATATAGACGTAACATACCCATAAGACCTACATGCTTCGTATTTGTATGCTAACATGTTTTCTGATATATTTACTTTTTTCTGTGCAGGGACAAGCGACAAGCGATCGATCGAATTTTCAAAGTAACAGCAGTTACGCAGGTACGTAGCTACGACAACTGTTACCCTGGCTGATGTACGAACATCATACAATTTCAATAAAACGTCCAGTGCATGGCTGCATTTATATTTTTAATTATCTTCCTTCGTTATTCTTATCTATAAGTTTCACAGTGTTCAATCTATTGACGCATGTGTTGGCACTTCGTTTATTGCGCTTATATTTTTAATTATCTTCCTTCGTTTACTGTGTAATGTCCAACACGTGTATTCAAACTCTGTGATAATTCTTAATGTCTCCGAGACGCAACGTCCAATCGGCGTTAATTAGTGCGCTGTGTAACGAAGTTTCGATGTCGTCCTGTGTGTGCAAGGCATATGTAATGGGAGCAGTCGCGCGATAATTGTAAACATATTTCATGGTTATCGGCGACCAGCCACGACCCAGCGAGGAATTCTCGCACACGATGGCTTTTGCGCGCACGGCACGTCTCCACGTCTCCACGTCTCCACGTCTTCAGGGCAATTCTACGAGTTCCTTATGTGCATCCTGCGCTGAGAATGCCTCGCGAAGATTCGCTACTTACTTTGTAATTGCTGTTACGTTATGTAAGGTTGGTTCATGTTGTGTCACCTACGCCTTGCTGGCTCGTACACACGAATGCAGCTCCGTGCGAATGTCACTTGACAGATATATTCCACTCGCAGCTAGACTGTCGTATGCACGTAGTATAAATAATCGCGCGGCCTTTTTGTAGCTGCTAGGCTAAAACGCATTAACACGCGGAACCTTTAATAAGACGGCGACATACTGCCTTAAGGTATACCGGACCCACGTGTTCGCGACGGATGGTGCCTGCATTGCAGCTCTAATTTAAATACGTTGACCCACCGAGATACGCCTTTTTGCAAAATTATCAATTCCCTTTTAAACTTTTTGGTGGGTGGAGGGAGGAAAGACAATAAGCAGATCAGGAGAAAGAGTGCGTGAGGAGATGAATAATCTTAAAAGTGAAGAAAGGTGGAGAAAAAAGAAATGCATGGAGGATGGAGGTGGAAGAAGAGGAAGTAGAAAAAATGAAAGAGGGAAAAAAAGAGGAGAACGAGGGAAACGGAGAAGAGGACGAAAGAGTGGAAAAGGGGGAGGAGGGAGCTGCGAAGAATTTGAACAGGAAGAAGGATGCGAAAAGACAAAATGGCATAAAAGGTCGAAAGAAAATCTACTGTGAAATGGATCCTGCTCCGGTCATTTCCATGAGGCTACATTCGAGTGACGTCACGAGCTGCCTATCAAAGGTCAATTTGTACGGGGAAACAGGAACAAGGATCGTTCAAGACTGTCATAATTCGCGATGTGACTTTATCGTGTGAAAAATGGACGTAGACCATACAGCATGGCTTTGTTGTTATATCGGTAGCAACGTGTAGCCACGCTGAACCCCGTGCTGTAATTCGTTTAATTATTAACGCACGAATGCTCCCGCACGTTCTTCGCTCGCAGTCTCCTTTATTTTCTTGTGCTTTATTTCTTTTTCATTTGCCGGCTTTACCTTCCGCCATCGTTTCGTCCTTGCGAGCCAACAAGGGGCGTTAAGCAGGACATCCTCTGCAGCAAGGAAGACGTTATTTTTTTTTGCGCCACCACGGACCGTTTCAATTACAAGCTGGCTCTTGGGTGCTTTTCATTTCTTCTTTTTTCTTCTTACTCTCGTTATCTCCTTTTTTCCAGCTTGGCCTTGTTTTTACTTTCTCCCCCATGCATTTCGATTGCACGTTGCACGTTGCACCCACTGCAGGGCCACTTGGTTCCAGCGTAGCGCGCATTAGCGAGTCGCGGTGTACACGTGTATTATTTATATTAATGACTATTCCAACACAGAGCCGTGCAGTTCAAATGCGTCGGGCAGATTTGACAGATGTGCGGTCGCTTTTGCCGACTGCCATTTGGCAGAGTTTGACAGGAAAAATTGAAAGCCGGCACTTTGATGGGAATTGTGCCCGGGGGGCAGGTATCGGCTCCGAAATTTAAAACTGCGTCCTGCTATTCCACACCTGAAACACGTAACAAACAATTTGACACGTTTGATTTTTACAGCTGTGCGAATACGTCTAGGTGTTGTTTTATTATCTTTACGTAATGACACATTTGCCGTATGGGATCAGTACGATGCACCTTTGTGCGCATCATTTTCATACAAATTCTCTGCATCGTAGATCACTGTCGCTAATTCTGGTGTATTTTGGAAATACGCATTACACGCCTAATAACGTGGACTAATGTCCATTGCAAATGGAATCAAGAGACTCGGTCGAGTCTCGCGCCAAGTACAGGCAACCGGCTGTACAGGGCGCAGCGCGCCGAGACTCTTTACTCGAGTCAACTCCTTATCCCCCAAAAAACACTTACGTGTAAAAAACTACGCCAAGTACAGGATTGCTGTGAATTCCTCTAACAAAAAGTATTGATATCATATTATTGACATACAGTAACGTTCATTTGATGATATACGGCGCTGAGGTGTTTCGAGGTTCGGTTAGACTGGACTTGATGTATTTTTATTTTTAAACGCACCCCGCTGAGTGCTAAAGGCAAAGTGAACGAGAAGGTAAATGGGAGGGTGGTGGCACGAGGTGAGATAGTTACGGCACTGAACGGGAATTCAATGATATTTTAACGGGAGCTAATGCGCACCCTGTGGCTTCTCTCCGCATTTTCCTGCTACACGCACGATAATCATTATTGACACTCGTTAACGTGAAATTGCCAAACGTCTATTCGATTACTGTCCAATGTATTTGTGCGTCTCGAACTGGTTGAGAAATTACATTTTATTCGCGGATTTTAATTTGATTTATAATTTTATTTTATTTCATCTCACGTCTTATTCGACCGACGGAAATGTCACTTGTGCTCGTTATTGTCTCTAGAACGAGGTAGTTTCTGTTTTACCGACGATTTCATCCCCTCTGTCCTACCGACACGTAACTTTGACTAAATTGACGTACCATCTGTTATCATGTTATCTCCCATCCACGTCTGCTTTTACCGACCGATGTCCCATCGTATCTTTAGGGGTTGTGTACCCCTTATAAGGTAACGCAGATCCCTACCTTTTCGACCGTCCGTTTTCATCCCTTCTACATTACCGGCTGACGAACGATAATATCCAGCCTCGGCACCTTCGGTGTGATACGACGGTTCGCGTGTCTTATCGTCCAAAAAGTAGCGGGTCGTCGCTCGATGCGTGATAAGGAAAATTAACAAAACTAGGTATAACGAATGTGACCTCATTATGGTATGCATATCTTCGTTGTATCATTCGAATGTTGGTATACAGATATGGGGTAACAGCCTTAAATAACAGTACACTATGTAACATGAAATCGATAACGATATGAATTGCGGTAACATCAAGAGGAATAATGCATACGTAAAATAGTAACGCGCACTGCTGGTCACGACTGTACCTCTAATTGACGTTACTTATGTTTAAAATTGAACGGAAGTAGGTACCAGTCATTTTCTGGTCGGACTTTCTCCCTAGTTAACTCGAAGGCGACTGTTTAGCACGCGTGACGTGACGATTTGAACGGCTAAAGCTCGGCTGGATGGAACGTAGGATAAAGCTGCTATACTTTTCCTTTGATTAATTACATAACGTGCACATTGCAGTAAACCGACATAAAGTCAAAGAGGCGACGCTGACGGCTGTTGCTGCTTGCCGGTTCTTGGTAGCCGCTCGGCGGCGAAGGGGGGCAAAGGAGGCGCAGGCGGCAAAGGGGCTTTCAAAGGAGGTTGAAACGAGACTCGTAGTCGAGGGTGGCTCGTTCGTGCGGTTCCTTCGTGGGTTGGACTGTGGGGAAGCAGGAGAGGGCCGGAGAACACGCGAACAAACTTCCGGTCGCGGCTGCGCGTGTATTATTTTTAATTATTTGATCCTTCACCCAAATACGAAGCCGACTCAGATCGAAGTCCTCGATTGTCCTTAATTGGATTGCGCTTCCTTTTCCCCCCTCGTGGATTTTCAACCCCCAGCCCCATCCTTGACCATCGGGACAACCTGGCCTACCCCTTCATCCCCTCGCCCCTGACATCCCTCGCGAGTCCTTCCTGCGCGCGGGATCCGTCAAGGAGTCAAGAGGGTAAGAAGAAAGGAAAAAGAAAGTGGAAGACTAGAAAGTATTCTCTCGCAATATTGTCCTCCCCGAACGATTTGCTAAGCCAGCGTCCCATCTCGACGTTTCCGGAAGCTTCGCGTCTCGGGAGCCAAACCCGGATTTAAACTGCTTTCACGCTGTGCGGTAATCTCAAGAATCCCGCTTTGGCGATACTCTCGCAAATCCCTTTCATAGAGCGAGCCTGTCTTGTCTTTTCCCTCCCGATCCATTTCCTCCCTTATTCCGTCAGCCTCGTCGGCAGCCCGTGAAACGGGTCGCGCACTTCCCAAGTATATCGCGTATGCAATCGGCGCGCAGGTAAACGGTTTGCTGGTCGGTACTGCACTGGCCGGTCTCGACGTCCTCTTTAAATTGACCGTGAATCCTCGTGACTCTCCTTGATGCCGGATCTCCGGTCGAGCGCGGGGACGTCTTGCACAATAACGAAAAATCGATAATCCATTACGCGACTCGCTGACTCCATTGACTAGCGGAAAGCTTCGGCACGAAGAGACTACACGGCGCGAAGCTCGATGAGTTACATCCGGCGCCCACGAGGACCGATTCTCAGCTCTCTCAGCTGGTACATCCCGGCGACTCCCTGAACTTCACGGAACTACCCTTGCAGTCCTCTGCTTCCTCCCTTACGGTCTCCGCGGCTATTTTCTTCCTTCCGCCTCCCTTGTTTTACACCCTGCTATACCCCCCTTCCCCCCACGTACCCCAACTTCTCGCCGAACGTCCACGAGCTATCGATTGTCCTGCGGTTAATTGAATCTGAAACCGACCCACCTCTATTGTGTCCCGTCACGCAGTTTCAACTTCCAAGAGAATCGACCGGATATCGCCTCTCTTCCAATCGATTACATCAATTAACCCTTTTA